TTGGGAGCAACGGCCTGGGTGTCCCGCTGGCCCCGGGGGCCGGCACAGGGCCGGGGAAGGCAGCTTTGCGGGTGCAGCGCAGGCTGGGCGGGGAAGGGAGGAGGAGGCTGTGTGCTCCCCAGGCGGACGGTACTCTGGATCCAGTTGCCATGGAAACTGTGCTGCTGTCCCAGATGCTGCTAACTTTGAAGTCCACCCAGGATGGAATCAGCCCAAAAATAACAATAAGACGCTTTGGGTTTTAAGGTGGATCGGCAGAATTGCTGTAGTGAGTGGCAGGCGTGTGCATCCCTACCGTGCTCCTGGCACCCAGCAGCCCTTCTGGACGTTTATGGGGCCATATAAATGGGTTTGCAGAATTGTGTCAGGCTCCGTATGAAATACTGACTCCCCAGTTGAGAACTCTGTCCCAAAAGCCACATCTGTGTGAGCATTTGCGGTGATAAATATCTGTGCTAGCTGCTTTGTTACAGAAGGAGGGTTACGGGCACCACTGGAATGGGGAGTATAAAACGCCTGGTTTGTAGCCTGCTATTACATGAATGAACAGCAGGAAGGGAAGGAAGGGGCCGTATCCAGAGGTGCTCAGGAGCACGCTGGTGTGAGAGCCGAGCTGCTCCAGGGGACGGGAGTCACATCTTCCGGAGCTGCTCCCCACAGGGACAGGTGGACACTGCCAGGCTGCCTGTCACCAGCCCTGCCACCATCCGTGGCGCATTGCCACATGGTCCCTGCCTGCACCAGGGTGGCGAGGCATCCCAGGGTTACTGCAGGGTTCTGAGAGGGTGCTGGGCTCCTTTTGGGCTGCCCACAGTGCTGCTGGCACTGGCTCAGTGCAGCCGTCCTTGCGGGGAGCCCCATGGCTGATGGCGGGGCGCGTCCTGGTGCAGCACACAGGCGCTTGCCCTCTCCCGGCCCCACGTGCCCCGCGGGAGGGAGTAATTTGCACTTAATTGTGATCAGGTGAAGAGCACCAAAATGGGAAGTGAACGCAGAGCTGTGGATCGATGTGGACTCTGTGTACTTTAATTATTTACTTAATCGTGGTGACACAGGCTTCTTAGCGCTGGGGGTAATTAGATTTGTGTTCATTGATTCCCCAGGCTGCCATTATCTGGAGAGAAATGAGAAGGTGCTCTCTGCGGCTCCCATCCTCACCCCTTTCCCGGGGT